AAGTACCTACAGTCATGGCTTGTGCTATTTTGGACAGCAGTTGTTTAAATACTTTGAGCAACTGTGATCGGTTAAATGCTTTGGAACAACTGAAATTGTTCAAATTCTTTTGGATAATAGTAGTTGTTCAACTACTTGCTGTGTGCTTAATATAAAACTTAAAACAGCCTCTGTCTTCAAAAGTGTGAAAGGGAAGCAATAAAACCTTGTCAGGTGGAAAGACTTAGACACATTGAAAGCCCTCTTAAACAATTCTTAAGTTCATCTAAATGAATAGAAGTTAACTGCCAGACTACAGCAGCACATGAAACAAGAATTCATTTGATTAAGGGTTGCCTGACTAGAAGGGCAGAGGGATGGCTGGCAGGATTTATGGAATCTTGGAAGTGCTTTGTTGCTGAACACCTGTAAGGCTGCTAGCCAAGGGTACCACAATTGAGGATTCTTCATAGATGTGCCTCTGAAGGAATCAAATGGCCATCTGGGAGTCAGGAGGGGAACATAAAAAGATGGGTAGAGCGCACAATCCTACTCCATGAAAAGATAGTGATAGGCAGTTAGGAAAGAAGAAGAAAAACTAATTTTTCTAGACAGCAGGATTCAGGAACCCAACCTAAAAACGCTGATGCCTATAAGTTTATGTGTGATGTGTGTGTGTCTACAGGATTGGGCTGTTACCCTATCAGAGAAAAATTAAAGCACCGATATTCATTGTACATCAGAAACTCATGGACATTTGGATTTGGATGGAACTAAACCCCAAAGAAAGTTATCAAAGGAAGACTAAACAAAGATAATGCATGGGACATCTGGGTGAAGAAACCAGAGTACAGGGCAGGAAGCTGACTTTGCTAGGTTAACCTCAAGATCCTGAGATAGGATTTGGCCACACTGCCAGGACCCTGACTTTCAGGGTTACATAGTCTGACCTTTATAATTAATAACTAAGTTGGAGGGTATGAAGTGTTCCAATGAAATCTCCTGCAGTCACATAGTCACAAGTCTAGCTGTGGGAGGAAAAAGAGGCACAGGAGCAGAAAGATGGTCCTAGAAGGTGCAGGAGCTCATTGGTTCTAAAAACCATGATCTTCAAACTGGGGTTGTGTTTCTCTGAGAGTAAGTGAAAATTTTTCAAAGGGATCAGTGACAAATTTCCAGAACCTCAGGATTTTATCTACTCTTTCCTGAAACCCAAGTCCTCAAGAAAATATGCTATATTTCTGATCACTCTCTTCACAATTGCCCTCCTCCCATACTTGAAAAGAGATCCATACTTCTTACTCACCCTGAGACTCCCTTGAAGGCATTTTACCACCATATACCAATTTCCAGGATACCAGACAGTAGTAGGTATTTAAAAAGTAAATGACTTTAATAAAGCCTATAAAATCCACTGAAGTTGACTGGAACTCTCTCAACAGAAGTTGGATGGAACTCTCTCAACTCTTCAAATGCACAGATAATAAAGTATTAAAAATACTTTTTATTGGGGACTGGAGAGATGGCTCGGTGGTTAAGAGTGCTGACTCTTGCAGAGGACCAGGATCGGATACCCAGCACCCCCATGGTGGCTGACAATGGTCCATAACTCCAGTCCTAGGGGATCCAATGCCCTTTTCTGACCTTCTTGGGCACGGCACAACATGGGTGCACTTACACACTTGCAGGCAATGCACTCATATACAAAAAAAAATTAATAAAATATGGGGCTGGAGAGATGGCTCAGTGGTTAAGAGCACTGGCTGTTCTTGCAGAAGACCTGGGTTCAAATCCCAGCACACACATGGCAGCTAACAACTGTCTGTAACTCCAGGTCCACCCTGGGACTGGAGTTACCGACAGTTGTTAGCTGCCACGTGGGTGCTGGGATACAAACCCAGGTCTTCTGCAGGAGCAACCAGTGTTCTTAACCACTGAGCCACAAAATAATATAATAAAAAAATAAATAAATAAAATATCTTAAAATACTTTTTATTTATTTTTATTTTATGTGTTTGAGTGTTTTGCTTGCATGTTTCTAAGGCAACCACGTGCATACAATGTCCATGGTGGTCAGAAGAGAGTGTCAGATCCCCTGAAACTGGAGTCACAAAAGGCTGTTAGCTGCCATATGTGTGCTGGGAACTAAACTCAGGCCCTCTGCAAGAGCAAACAGTGCTCTTAACCATTGAGTCATGTCTCCAGCCCCTAAAAATAATTTTTGATGATACACCATTATATAAGTCTGTAAGAACTGTTATGTAAGGAGTTCAATGAATTTTGTCATTTACCATGACAGAGCCTCTTAATTTATTCTTTTATGGTAACAAAGTTTCTCAGAACTTACTATTCCTGTATGTTTGTTTGTTCTTTGTTTTTGTTTGTTGTTTGTTTGTTTTTGAGACAGGGTCCCAGGTATCCCAAGCTGGGTTAGAATTCACTAAGTAGCTGAAGTAACCCTGAGTTTCTGATCCTCCTGCCTCTACCTTCCAAGTGCTGGGAATACAAGTCTTTACTAGCATACCCAGATAAAAAACTTTCTATTTCATGTACAAAATATTTACAGGAGATTACCACTGTGCATGACCAAGTGCCTGCAATATGCTGGACAGAGTGCTGTCCACTGTCCACCGTAATCAGGTATAGAGTATCTTTTTCTGCTAGACAAGTTTCTTTTTTGTGTCTCTGGGGCACACTGGAACAAAAATCCATACTTGGGCAGGAAGCTCAGGGGGCAAATAGTCACTGGCAGGTCAGATGTGTACCCTCAAATATTTTTCATTCCAAACTTTGACTTGGCCAGTCAGGAATCAGAAACCCAAAGAGAGGAGAATTGTCCATGGTAACAAAACAAATAGGTCTAGAACTAGAACGCATCCCTGTTCAGTGATCCCAGGGCTCTTTCTACTCCATCTCTTACCTATTACAACAGATCAGGAAAGGTCTTCTTCCATGTTATGCACAATGACACTACACTTACCCCTTGTCCTCAATATAAACTTGTTTGACATGGAGGATCAGGTTGGTGAGGTTCTTCTAGGACTAAATACTAGGACATAGCCCAGACCTAGAGGTATAGAGGAACTGAAGAATGGAAAGCATGGGGAGGAAGGAAAGAGCTCTGGATATTCCCAATCCTTTCATGAATTAGCATCTTGGAAGACAAGCAAACCCTGAGGCACCATTTCCAAGCTGAGGGTCTTTTGGGTGACGAATAGATTTGCCAAGGACGATATTGTTACAGTACAGAGGAGAAGTGCTCTGGAGGGTGTGTGGATGTAAGACAGAGTGCATACTGATACTCTATAACACGAATGAGGCCTGAAGACAGTGGGATAAATGAAGGAAGCCAAACACAAAAGGTCACAAACTGGAGGAATCCATATATATGACATTTCCAGAGTAGGCAAATCCATAAAGACAAAAATAGATTAACAATTGCCACAGAATGGAGAAAGAGGAAAAGGGAATGATGAGGAATGGGCATGGAGTTTCCTTTTTGGGTGAGGAAATTGTTTTGGAATGAAATAAAATGTTTGCACAACCTTGTGAATATACTCACAACCCCTGAACTGTATACATTTAAGTTAGGAATTTCATAGTATGTGAATTATATCTTCATTAAAAAATAATGAGCTAGGCATGGTGGGGCATGCCTTTAATCCCAACACCCAGAGGGCAGAGGTAAATGGACTACAGGGAGACCCTGTCTCAAAAAGACAAAAAAAAAAAGATGAAATAAGTGTCAAACCAGTATATAGACATATTATATAGATAAAGGTACAAGACATTGGGGAGGATGCCTTGCATATATTTGTCACCTACCGTATTCAGGACATTCCATTCTTTTATATTTATTCTCATTGAGGACACAAGGCAGCCCTAAGAACTAGGCATATTTTCATTTCAGAGATAAGGAAATTGACTCAATATTTTATTTATTATTTTTATTCTATGTGTATGAGTGTACTGCCTGCATGTCTGTAAGTGCACCCATGTCATACAATGCCCAAGGAGGTCAGAAGAGAGCATCAGATCCCCTGGAACTGGAGTTATAGATGGTTGTTAGCTACCTTGTGAGTGCTGGAAATTGAACCCAGGTTCCCTGCAAGAGCAACTATAACTGCTGAACCATCTCTCCAGCCCCCTCATAGATCTATCTAAACCAAGGATATGGAACTAATTCATGCCACAGGCACAATTAAAACTCAGGTCTGTTGTGTATGGATGGTATCACATATCTATAATCTGAGAATCTAAGGAGCTGAGGCAGGAGGATCACAAGTTTACAAGTTTGAGGCCAACCTAAGCAACATAGTAAGTTCCAGAACATCCTGAGATACATGATATCATATCTTTTTGTTTGTAGTTTGGCTATCTATTTTTGAGACAGGGTCTCATGTAGTCCAAACTGGCTTTGAACTCACTATGTAGCTGAGGAAGACCTTGAACATCTGATCCTCCTGCCTCTACCTCCCTAGTATTGAGATTATAGGCATGTGCCACCACATAAGATTATGTTGTACTGGAGATCAAACCCAAGGCTTTGTGCATGCTAGGCAAATAGTTTACCAGCTGAGCTATATCTCTAGCCCAAGAATATGTCTTTAAAAAAAAATACACACCTCAGGTCACTTTAACTTCATAGGGCTTCTATTTTCCCATTAGCTTGTTTTGAAAGAAGCCCAGTACTTGGTGGGTGTTCTTCCTCACTGTGCCTTGCAAAGCTGTGAACATACTAAAAAATACTACCTGATGGCTCAATGATTAAGAGCACTGACAGGATTGGAGAGATGACTCAGCACTGGCTTAAGAGCAGTTCCCAGCTTCCACATGGCAGCTAACAGCCATCCACAACTCCAATTCCAGGGGTTCCTACACCCTCTTCTGATTTCCACAGACACTGCAAGCACAAAGAGAACATACAGACAAGCAGGCATAAACGCATAAACACAAATTTTAAAATAAATACATTTTTTAAAAAATACTATCTGAATGACTGTCCACTGTCACCTCTACAGATGACACCTGGAGAGTTAGCCCTTACCAGTGGCAACCACACCCCAGTTACAAAGTTCATCTTGCTGGGATTCTCCAATTACCCAGACCTCCAGGAACTTCTCTTTGGGGCCTTCCTGCTCATTTATACCATTACAGTGGTAGGTAACCTAGGAATGATGGCACTCATCCTGACTGACTCCCGACTCCACAGCCCCATGTATTTCTTCCTCAGCATCCTCTCTTTCCTTGATATTTGTTACTCTTCTGTGGTGACACCCAAGCTCTTGATAAACTTTCTGGCCTCTGACAAGTCCATCTCTTTCGAGGGCTGTGTGGCCCAGCTAACCTTCTTTGTGATACATGTGACAGCTGAGAGCTTCCTGCTGGCCTCCATGGCCTACGACCGCTTCATGGCCATCTGCCAACCCCTTCATTATGGTTCTGTCATGACCAAAGTGACCTGTCTCCAGCTGGTGGCTGCTTCCTATGCATTTGGTGGAGCCAACTCTGCTATCCAGACTGGGAATGTCTTTGCCCTGCCTTTCTGTGGGCCAAACCAGGTAACACACTATTTCTGTGACATCCCACCACTTCTTCGCCTGGCTTGTGCCAGCACTGCCACAGCGGAAGTGGTCCTCTATATCTTCTCTGCCCTGGTTACCCTTCTGCCTGCCACAGTCATTCTCACCTCCTACAGCTTGATCTTGACAGCCATTGGAAGGATGCGCACAGCTGCTGGGCGGGAGAAGGCTCTCTCCACGTGTGCCTCCCACTTTCTGGCTATTGCCATTTTTTACGGCACAGTAGTTTTCACCTATGTCCAACCCCATGGATCCAGTGGTGATACAAATGGCCAGGTAGTGTCAGTGTTCTACACCATAATAATTCCGATGCTCAACCCTTTCATCTATAGCCTCCGCAACAAGGAGGTAAAAGATGCCCTACAGAGGAAGTTCAGGATCAACATTTTTCCCTGCTGAGCACTTTGAGGTTGTTTATTGGAATGAGAAAACCATCTTCCAAATCATGTTATGAAATGACCAAACCACAGAGAACTAGGTAATGAAGAATATGGAAATAAGAGAGAACAGTAAGCATCATGGTTTAATTTATAAATCATATTGAATCTTTGCTATCATGTTACAATGATTCCATTTTACAAATAAAGGATACGTGACTCAGAAAAATAAGTTAATTAGCTAAATTCATTAAGAAGGCATGTTTTCAAGCTGGAGAGATGGCTCAGCAGTTAAGAGCACTTCCCACCCTTCAGAGGACCTAAGTTTGGATCCCAGCACCCACATCTGGTGGCTCACAATAGTCTGTAACCGGTTCCAGGGGATCCCACGCCCCTTCTGGATTCTGAGGGTACCTGCACACATATGGCAGACACATAGTTACACACACTTACACATAAATAAAAGTAATAAATTTTTTAAAAAATTAAAATGTGCATATTCACATCAGAGGTTCCACACCGAAACACTTGGAACATGTCAGTTCCAGTGCTACACTGAATCTGTTATTGTTGTTTTGGTTTGGTTTGGTTTGGTTTGGTTTGGTTTGGTTTAGTTTGGTTTGGTTTTTTGAGAAAGGTCTCACTGTATAGCCCTGGCTAGCCTAGAACTCACTATGTATACCAGGCTGGACTTGACCTCACAGAAATTCACCTGCTCTGTCTCTGAGTGTTGAAATTAAAAGTGTGTGTTATACCTAGGATGCAACCTCTACACCTAAGGCTTATGGAACATAGGGATGAAGAGAACACTAATGAATCTTTCAACTCTCTTCAATGAAGCTCCCTCATGCAACAGAGGACCAGGAACACAAAAGGTCACAAATGGCCAAAACACAGAGAATAAGAATCTGCAGAGTGTGGGTCCTTGGACAGGACTCCGTGTATTAAAATCCACCCACCCAGGGCTCAGGAACCATTGCAGAGAGGGGACAGAAAGATTGTAAGAGCCAGGGAAGAAGTGCAGGACCATATGGAAACAGTCTGACAGGCACCTGGGAACCTTCTCATACAAACCTACAGCAATGGTGTCAGCATGCACAAGACCTATGCAGACAGGCAGACAAAACCCAGCACAGAACTGTGGAAATGAACAGCAAGCCCCAATCTTAGTCGAAGAATTATTGGCAGCTGATTATTGCTGGGTGAGGAAGAGCTGATTTTCCTAAAGGGAGGGACTCTAGGTAGGCTGACTAAATCTCAGTGGATGAACTTGTACTGAGGGACATCTGGGGACACTAACTTTACATGATAGGCCTTAACATAAATGACAGAATTATGAACTCCAATTGGGGTGGGTATATGGGAGAGTGCCAAAGGGGAAGGAGGTATAAAGATGATTTTAAGTATTAAATACACAAAAATTCAATAAAAAAATTTTAAATAAATAAAATATAGCCAAAGCATGGAGAGTAAGAATCTGCAGAGTATGGATCCTTGGACAGGACTCATATTAAACGCCACCCACCCAGGGCTCAGGAACCATTGCAGAAGAGAGGGCAGAAAAATAAGAGCCAGGGAAGAGGTGCACAACTATATGGAAATAGAGTCCTACGAGCGCCTCAGACATTGCTCATATGAACCTACAGCAATGGTGTCAGCATGCACAAGACCTATGCAAACTCAAACAGACAAAAACCCAGCACACAACTGTGGAAATGGGCATTAGACCCAAATCTTAGTCAAAGAATTATTGGCTGCTGATTACTGTTGGATGAGGAATAGCTGATCTTAAACGGAGGGTTTCTAGAAAGGCTGCCTAGACCCCAGTGGGTGATCTTGCACTGAGGGATGTCTAGGGACACTAACTTGATATGATAGGCATTAACACAAATCACAAATGACAGAATTTATGAATTCCAGTGAGGTGGAGGGCTATAGGAGGGGGCCAGTGGGGAAGGGGGTATAAAGATGATTAAGTTTAGCCAGGCATGGTGGCCCATGCCTGTAGTCCCAGCACTTGGGAGGCAGAGGCAGGTGGATATCTGTGAGTTCAAGGCCAACCTGGTCTTGTGAGCTCCAGGCCAGTTGAGGCTACAGGGAGACCCTCTTTCAAAAGAACCAAAAAAAATGATTAAGTTTGATTATGATGTTCTGTATGAAATACACAAAAATAAAAATTTCCAAAGAAAAAAAAAGAAGCATATGCCACAGTGTCCAGCCCTTGGTTCTGTTTTTGGACACAAGACTATAGCTCAAACTGCCCCAGGACTCACTAGGTAGACTAGGCTAGCCTTAAACTCCCAGCAAGCCAGGATTATAGGCATAAACCATTATGCCTGGCTTAAGTTAAGTCTTTATTGATATTTCATCATTACTTCCAGGAAACATCAGACAATTGGCAACACAATCACCACTATTTGCCACTGACTTCATGAAGCAGGCATAGGCAAGAAGCACCTCAGCTCTTTCTGTTGCAAAAAGAAAGATTACCAGCATAAAGATCTTATATCTTATTGTGACTGCGTTTTGCTGAGATGGCTTATAAAACCTCAGAATCAGCAAATTGCCAAACCCAAGGTCTTCCTGAGTTTTTCTCACCAAAATTGACTTTGCCACAAATTGGTACTTGTTGCAGCCAGGGAAATTATGTCTCACATTTGGACTAGGCAGGAAGTAGCAAGGGGAAATTCTGCAGGGACTAGAAACTGACACAAGTAGGAAGCACCCAGAAGCTACAGTAGAAACCCAAACCATCCAGGCCAGTCATCCCCAGAGCCCTGTGGTGTTGGACTTTTTTCTGGAGAACTGAGGGAGCTCAATAAATGGTAGAGACGTCACCTGGCACACATGAGGCTCTCAGTTCAACCCCCAACACTTCAGTAAATAAATAAACCTCAGTATCAAGAAATACCGTCCTTCTACTTCTTACATCAAGATGTCTGTGCGTGTCTCATCATCATGAAGGCTGTGGGATGTGAGGGCCTGTGTGGGTGCGTGTGAATGGTGTTTGGGCAGCAACAGGATTATATAAGATACTGTGCCTTGGAAGATGATTCAATATTTTTATATTTGGTTTCAGTATCTTTAAATATGTGTGTAATAGGTTAGCATGAATGTCTTAGAGAATGACACTAATGAAGCTGAATTCAAAAACTTAACTATGGGCTGAATGTCAGATTAGAAATCACATTCCTGAATCAATGCAAAGTCCACCTGGAACCGAGGTAGCTATAGCCTGAGAATCTGTGTCGTTATGAAGTTACATTTTTTTTCCCAGATCTACGTTAAGAAAATAATTCTAATTAGAGAAATTCCAATTAAACAAGCAGGCCTACCACAGCATCATGTATGAAAACCAAGCGTCAGCAATCACCCAAGTGTTCAAGAGAGATGAATGATTAAGGAAGTAGTATGGTTGGCTTTTGATCCACCTGCAAAGAGAGACCCTTAAATGGGAATTTTCCTTCATCAGACTGGCCTGTGGGCATGTCTGTGAGACATAGTCTTGATTGTTGAATGATGTGGGAGGGTCCATCCCACTGTGGATAGTGCCACCCTGGCAGGTAGTCCTGAGAAAGAAAGCAGACTGGGGGGGCGGGGTGCTGAAGAGATGGCTCAGTGGTTGTGATGGCTAATCCTGGGTGTCAACTTGACTGGATCTGGGATTAACTGAAATGAGAGAGATCTTCTTAATTGGATCATCTGAAGCTGGAAGACACACCCTAAATGTGGGCATTACCTTCTGATGGCAGCCCGTATAAAAGGCCACGGAAGAGGAGAACACCTGGCTTCTTGCTGCTTGCCTTCTCTCTCGCTGGTGAGTTCATCTTGCTGCTGTAGACTGAAGACTAACTGATCTTTTAGAATTCATCAGACCTTCAGCACTAGATTGGGACTACTGAGACATCCAGCCTCATGGACTGAGCGACTACAGATTCTCAGCCTCTCCAATGTGGTGCAGCCATTGTTGGACTACTTGGACTCTATCCTGTGAGCTAAGCTGATAAATCTCTATACATATATATTCATTCTACTGGTTCTGTTTCTTTGGAGAACCCTGACTAATACAGTGGTTAAGAGCACTGACTGTTCTTGCAGAGGACCCGAGTACAGTTCCCAGCACCTACATGGTGGCTAACAACTGTCCCTAACTCCAGTTCCAGGGGATCTAATGCCCTCTTCTAACCTCCATGGGCATTATACAACACAGGTGCCTACCTACATGTAAGCAATATATTCATACACATAAAATTTAAAAATAATTTTTAAAAAAAACAAAAGCAAACTAGAGGGGGGGGCAGGCCAGGGGAGCAAGCCAGTAAGCAGCATTCCTCTGTGGTCTCTGCTTCAGTTCCTGCCTCCAGGTTCCTGCCTGACTTCCCTCAAAGACAGACTGTAACTTGGAAGTGTAGGTTGCAATAAATCCTTTCCTTACCCAGTTATTTTTGGTCCCAGTGTTTTGTCACAGCAATAGAGAAGCAAACCAGAACAGGAGGTAAATGATTTATCCCCCTAAAGGGATTATGATACAACCATTCAAATTACATTTCAGAAGGCTGTGTAACAGCACGGAAAACAGCAGGCCAGACATCCAGGGTGCAATAGCAACAAAGTAATACAAAACGGGGCAACCAGAAACTGCAGCATGGGAGGGGAGAAGGTAGCTAGTCAGTCAGTCAGTCAGTCAGTTTGTTCCAGGTCATCTTCAACTACACAGCAAATTTCAGGTCAGCTTGAGCTACAAGAGACCCTGACTCCAAAAAAAGTAATTTAATTTTAAAAATGAAAAAAAGCACAAAAATGTAAATAATATATCAAAATGGTAGTGCCATGAAAAGGGTTTTTTTTCCTCAAATTTTCCAAAACTCAGCTGGGAATGGTGGCACATGCCTTTAATCCCAGCACTCAGAGGTAGAGGTAGGTGGATCTTTATGAGTTTAAGGCCAGCCTGGTCTACATAGGCTTTTTAAATTAGCATGCTTAAAAGTTTTGATGCTTTATTGTGAAAAATGAATAATTAGG